CATCACTTTTCCATCTGCAGTTTCCCATCTCCGGAGAAGAATACCATCTTCAAGCTTCAACTGGTCCCATTGTGCCCAATAGTTCTTTGTCACAGGGCTTAGACTAAACATCTTCTCCCAAGCAGGGTGCAAAACACTTGCTTTTGGAAAATCAACTACTGGATTCAAATCTTGGTCTTTCTCCTGCTCTGCTTTAATATCTATACCTGGTTCCATTTCACCATCATCAACTCCTTCAGTAACTTTGACTTCAGCTTGATGATACCTGGTTAGTTCAACATCTCTTTTAACACTTACCGGAATTTGGCCTTTGTTGTTCCCAAACGTCATTTTATCAAAATTAATTACAAACTTTTCCGGTAGTAAGTAGTCCAACCCTAATATGCATTCGTTTTCAACGTCAGCCAAGTATACTTTATGTCTGTACTTCATGCCCATGAGCTCAATAGTTACCCACACTGGTCCCCACAACCTTGCATAATGTCTTGTCACACCACAGAGCTTCTGTACAGCTTCTGGTACTCCTTTTGTGATCCATCACCCTGATACTCACTAGGGTTTGCTGAGATGCAGAATCTATGACAAAGTTGTACCTTTGGCCATCCAGCTTCCCTGTCACGTAGACACTATGTGTGCTTGCCATTTTGCACTTAGCTGTTGGGACTTTCACGATGGGGTTGGTGGGCTTCCCTCATCACCAACCACTACTGGTTTCCCCAAAGCTGACTTATTGATGGTATTCTTCTTAAACTGGCTTCTCATATGTCCTTGCTCTCCACAGTTCCAACAACCTTTCTGGGTAGCAGCCTTTCCTGCTGTGGCATCTCTCCTGTGTTGAAGTTGCCAGCATTGAGCTCTCTTGTGCCCAGGTTTATTACAGCGCCAGCAAAGTCCGTCAAACTTCTTTGAAAGCTGCCCTTGAATCCTGACGACTGTACCAACCTTGGTACCTCTGTGCTGGAGTTAACGTAGGATTCAAATTCAAGAGCTCTGGCCATTGCATCCTGCATAGTAGAGGGGTGTGCTTGCTTTACTTGTATCTTCAGTTGTGGATTGTCCAAGGCATCTACAAACTGATCCCTTAGCAACAACTTGAGGAGATCGGGTGGTGCAATTGGGTAGGCCTTGTGTGCCATACTTTCCAAGTCCCGTGCCAGATCTTGCAGGCTCGCCCCTTTAGCACGGACTCTCGTCCTAAACCTAGC